CATCAATTCTTCTTCTGTCATCTTTAGTCACTGTCCAGTTCTCTGATGCAAAACAGTTAATTGCGAAGACCTGGCCTGGACTAGGTGCACCTTAGTCTTTAGACTGACACTGTTGCTTCTCAGTACTCTGGAGAGGTTCCTGGTAGCAGATTTTCTCAATGTTATTTGTCTTTTGATTTCCTGACTGTTGGTGCCAAGAGTATTGATTGTTGAGCTGAGCAAGCTGTAATTGTTAACGTCAATCTTTTCTCCACTTCTCACGGTGCTGTAAATTGGCCCAGGAGTGAGAATCTTTGTCTTTTTATTGATCAGATCTCGTCTTGGCCAGTGTGATCTGGGCTGTTTACCTCTCTGGGCCTGAGTCTTTACTAAGACTCTGTGCAGAACGAACTCTGAGGAGTGGGGTACTCAAAGCAGCTTGCAGGAGTCCTGGCACTTGGGAAGGGCTTAACAAATCCTGTCATAGAGCTCCCAGAGAACACCTTATTGGGCATCAATGCGAAGAAGCAGGATCCCAGGGAAGCCCAGTGACTTTGCTGACTTCCATTGCTACTGAAACAAACAGTGCCACCACCTCATTCCAAGTCAATGACAGGATGTTGGTAATGAGCTGCACTCTCTGATCATATTTGGGTCAGAAACAAGTCCATTCCATTTGCTTGGAAAAAGAGCTCAAGTCAACAGACACTTTCATCTATTAAAAGGTTGTCTGCTGCTAAAAGGTGATGGCACGTCAGTGCTGACTCGCAGTGATGCTGACCGCAATAGAACAAAATGCCCCCCAGTTCTCTGCCACGCTCACGAACCCCACGGTTGCGGCTACTCTGCCAATCAATCTCACTGAGTCCCGCTATTTTTCACTGACCCTCTGCTTCACTAAACTTAACGTCCTTTGCCAGGAATTGGCTCCTTCTGATAACAAGCTCCAAGTGGGTGGGATGAAGAAGTTTTGTCGTCCTTTAGATGCCGCCGAGTTGACACAGTGATCCTATAACAACAGACCTGAACCTCACCCTGTTTGAATCCTGCACTGTCCATACCGTCTTCAACATGCCTGAGCCTCTGTTACAGACACTCTGTCAGACCATCCTGTTAAGCATCTTCCCTCCTTCTTCTGATGCCTCCTCTCTCTCTATGCTGTTGGTAGGTGCCACTGAGTTGAGTACAACTCACAGCAACCCTGTCAACAACAGATATGAACCCTGTCCTATCCTGTGCCATCTTCAATGTCCCCAACACACTTGAACCCACTGCTGCAGTCACTGTCTCAATCCAACTTAACGGGGTTTCTGGTCCCACCTGCCTCACAGGGTCTAAACTCCATGGGAACACCTTGTGGCACAGCTTTGCAGGACCCACTCCTCCTTGTACGTGTAGTCACGTCATCTCTTGCTGTTCTGTTGAGACCCTCCATCTCGGGGATAGAACTTTCACTCTCCTGGGAGCACCCATCATCCTTCCTGCCTCATTCAATTCAGCTGCAGGCTTCAGTTGGGATCCAGTTTCTCCAAGGTCTCCTTCCCTGAGCTTTCTCCACTCTCACGTTGGGTTAAGAGCACCCCGATACCACCCTCCTTAGAGATGAGAATGGTGAGACTTCATCTCACATGTTATCAGGAGGGCAAGTGCTTGGAAAAAAAGAGATCATCCTGGAAAAGGTGGAAGGTCAGAGAAAGAGAGGAAGCTGCTCCACCAGACTGACACAGTGAGTAGAGGGGGCATGAGCGTGTCACGGACGTGAGGATGGGGCAGGGCAGGGTTCAGAGCTGTTGTTTACAGAGCTGCTATGAGCAGCAGTCAACTTGATTGAACCTAATAACAACAACAACAACAACAACTATCATCCTCATCACGAAGCCTGGTGCACTTAATTTACACATTAATGATCTTTCTAGTTGGCCTGTCAGCTGTGGGGTGTGCGGATCCTTCCCAAGTGAGTCACAGAAGAAGATGAGGGCACACAGTAGGTGCCTAATAAATGCTACTAACTAAATGAATGAATGAATGAATGAAAAGCTGAGTGCAGTGTGGATAGATAATAAGTCAGAAATGCCCATCTGTCTTCATACTCTTCACGAGCGAGTCACTTCACCTCCCTGGACTCAGCTTCCACATGTGAAGAGAGCCCTGAACTCTAGCATTCATTCTCAACTGAGGATCCCTGAAGAAAGGGGTGGGCTTTTGGGAACATGTTTCACTATTTCAGGACCACAAGAGGAATCCAAGATCTTCCTGTGAAAATATGACTCCAGCTGACTAAGACCTCAGGAGACTGCACTAATGAAAATATTAATTAATGGTCAACTGAGGAGTACCTAAAGCACTTGCTGCAGAAGGTCAAGGACTGTAGTCTTCAATATGAATTGACACTCAATATCAAGAAGACAAAGATCCTCGCCACTGGGCCAATTGGCAGCACCATCAAAAATGGAGACGAGATTGAGGCTGTTAGCAATTACAGCTTGTTCGGCTCCACAATCAACACTATTTGACACCAGCAGTCAGGAAATCAAAAGACAAATTGCACTGGGAAAATGTGCTGTCAGGGACCTCTCCAAAGTACTATAAACAGCAATAATGTCAGTCAAGGGACTAAGGTGTGCCTGATCCAGGCCATGGTCTTTGCAATTACTTGTTACTTAACAGAGAACTGGACAGTGACTAAGGATAATAGAAGAACTGATGCCTTTGAATTGTAGTGCTGGAGAAGAGTATTGAACATACCATGGACTGCCAAGAAAACAAATAGGTCTGTCTTGCAGAGAGAGTGAAACCAAGTTTCTCCTTGGAGGCTAAGATTTTGAGATTCCTTCTCACATACTTTGGGCACGTGGTCAGGAGGGACCAGTCCGTAGAGTAGGACATCATGCTTGGAAGGGTGGAGGGACAGTGCAGAAGAGGAAGACCCTGGATGAGATGGATTGATACAATGACTGGGGCAATGGGGGTAGGTGTGTCGGAGTCAGTGAGACTGGCTCAGGACAGGGCAGGCTTCAGAGCTGCTGTACATAAGATCACTATGAGTTATTGGTGGCTCGACAACACATAACAACAACAACAATGGTCAACCTCCATCTGAAATTGAGCAAGGTCTTAATTAGCTGTTATTAGTGTCTTTGAGTAAGGGGGGAAAATTGTAATGCAGTATCAAACCATAGTATACTTGTGGGTAATACCTTTCAAAACAGTTCACATGGAGGTGAGATCATAAAGAGCTTTTCTCTAGAAAGAGTAGCAGTCATAGGCTCTTAGGATGGGACCAATTCGCCCTTGGCCAGCTGGAGTCAGGGATAGGGTATTATAGTTATCACAAGAATCCGCAATTAAGGTTGCATAGTGGAGTGTATTTGGGGCGGTGGGAGGGGTGTGGGGGGATTGTATACCAAAGAAAATATTTTTCTTTTACTTCTCAAAGACAGGAGCGAACTGGGGTGGGGGGGACTGGAGGGAGGTCTGGGTAGGGAGAAAAGTGCAACAATGAATAAATGGAAATCCAAAAATAAATGGGAAAATAAAGGGTACTATCCTGAAGGGCCCTCTCTTTCTGGTAGGGGGCAACTCTCATCCCCATCATCTATTCCTTTGGGAACTCTGATTGGGATCCGGAGTCCACTATCCACAAGCTTCCAGGGTTTTGGAATCTACAGAGATCGAGGGTCAGAAGCTCTATCTGGCCACTTGGGGGCGCGCTCACTCCACACTTGGATTCCAAGGCCCAGCTGGAGCAGGAGGTGGACAAGGAGGAAAGCTGGACTTTTGGAGGCCCTGCAGGGTTTGGAGTTGTGGGTCACAGGCTCCGTAACATATGTTCACACTTACAGAAAACCCAGCTCTCATCCTTCCAGCCCACGGTTGTGCTGTCCAGAGCACCTTACTCTGCTGTTCTTAACCAAGGAAGCCTGTTCTGGTCTCCTCCGTTTCCGTGGATAACACCCTTGGAAGCCCTATGGAGTAGCTCTACTCTGTCGTCCAGCGTGGCTACAAGTAAGAACCCACTCCGTGGCAGTAAGTTTACTTGTTTTTACTTTGGTCAGCAGCCTGAATCCTTTGTCTGAAATAAAAGAACGATCTTGTGCCTGTAGCGGCCCATTTACAAAATGAAGGTACATTCACACAATGGAATAAATACTACGCAGCATGCAGGAGCAATAACTTTGTAAATTATTACCTGACTTGGGAGGGACTGGAGAGCATTATGCTGGGTGAACTAACTCAGTCACATAGGGATAAATATTGTGTAAGACCATTATTGTAGAATGAGTATAAGGATCCAGGAGGGGTGGGAGAGGCTGGAAGCAGAGGGATGTGGATGTATAGGGGGAAGGGGGATTAATCATTGGGTTGTACAATTTGATGGATGGGTGGGTGAGGGAAATTGAAAGTATTTGTTCAAATCTGTATTTAAATTTTGTAAATAAACTAGTAGAAAAATTTAAAAAAAAAAAAAAAAAAGAAGAAAAGAAAATGAAAATAGTAACACCACACCGACAGCAGGGGCTGTGTGTGATGGGGAGGAGATGGCATATCCTTGTGAAGTGTCACAACACTGCACAGCATCCAGGTGGCACTGCAGTCAGCAAAGACCCCGTCCCCATTCAGGGTTCTTTTTAGGACTGGACAGTGATGTATATCAAGAATGGGCAGAGGCAGGCTCTCTGATCCCAAACTGAAAGAGCAAAGATATGCTCTCACAGAAGCAAATAAAAAGGCCTTGGCTGTGAGAGAGGTGTTTCCTGTCCACTCCTTGCATATTTTATCATGCAAATACAGGCTCTCACCTCCCTAGGGATGAGAAGGTGTAGATGTCTGCTCTCCCTTCCAACTCAAGTGGTCATGAGCTCTGTCCTGAGTGAGTTTATTAAGTCCCTTCCTCATTCTGAGCCTCAGTTTCCCCATCTGTTTAAGATGATGCTTCTCAGGTTCTTCCTGGTCCCGACATCCCATGGTGGCGCCTGCCTCCCGCCCAGCGCCTGGCCGGGTGGCAGCCCCACAGTCCTTACCTGAGGTACTCATAGAGCCCGTACATGGGCAGGAAGTCAATGTCAGACAGGAACATGTAGGGCGTGCTGATGTGTTTCATGGCCACATTGCGCAGCAGGTTCACGGGGTAGAACTGGCCCTCCTTGTACACGATGTGGTAGCCGACGTTGTGACGGCTCATGAGCACGTCGGAGCCCTGCGCGTAGCGGAGGAACTGCTGGGCCTCGGCATCCGACAGGTAGAGGGCCAGGCTGATGGGGCCCTCCCAGTGCTTGCAGATGGCCTCCAGCATCTGGAGCCTGAAAGAGAGGGGGCCTGTGAACCACGGGCACCTTGGAAGAACGACCTAATGATTTCTTTTTGAAAAACCAGGTACTTTAAGCCAAATGGACTAGGTTTCAGAGATTGGAGAAGGGAGTCAAAATTAGCAAGTACATAATGTCGTGTACAGTCGAACCCACTCATAGTTGACCCTCCAGCAGGTCTTCAGAGGCAGTAAACTGCATGGGAGGAGACTGCCTGCCTTTCTCCCATGTAGCAGCTGGTAGATTGGAACCATGTGCCTTTGAGATGGCAACGCAGCTCCCTAACAACAGTCCAGCAGAGCTCCCTAAATACGTAATTGTTGTTATGCGCTGTTGAGTCAGAACGATCTATATATATGAGCCTCCAGCAGGTTTTCAGAGGCAGTAAATCACACAGGAAGAGACTGCCCATCCTTCTCCCCTGGAGCAGCTGGTGGATTCGAACCATGTGCCTTTGGGATTGCAGCACATAATACAGCAGAAGGGAAAGGCAATATCCAGTAAGATGATGATCAGCACAGCATCTCCAAAGAAGAGAAAGGTACAGAGAGGAGCAGAAAATGATGAAAAGAAATCAGAATTACAGAGTACGATTACATGGGAGAAGAACGATCACGTCATGGTATTGAAGTGAATTAGTTATTAGAGCAAAATGTACATGGATGGTTGAATGAAAAATTACGTTTGATTGGTAAACTTTCACCAAAATGACAAAAAAGAATTCTAGAATGAAATAAAATCAGCCAAAAAAAAATGTTTAAAAACAACAAAAAGCTGTGGAGTACAGTTCTATCTGCCACAAACAGGTCACCAGGAGTCAGATTTGACTTGATGACAAAAACAACAAAAAGCTGTGGAGTACAGTTCTATCTGCCACAAACAGGTCACCAGGAGTGAGATCTGACTTGATGACCACTGGTTGATCACCGGGAGCCAGGCACTCTCCTGACTCAAGCATCATTATCTCAACTTTCCTGATGAAGGGAATGGAATCCTAGCCGTCTAATCAACTTTCCTTCTTGGACTTGGACAAGACATGCTAGACAGACTTGTCATCAGGTCTCTGGGGGTGGGGAGGGATAAATAATACAGAGCACTTGGGACAAAAGAATAGAAAATCAGGCGGACGGTGGGAAAGCACGTGGACCCACGGTGACACTGCCTCCATTTGCTGGAGCCCTCCGTGACCCAAGCCCCAACCAAGCTATGGTGGAGACAGCAAGCCAAGGAGAGGAAGGGAGGAAGAGAGCCCAGGAGAAAAAGAAAAGGAGTCTCAAACAGAGTGGGTTCTGAAAAGATGTTTGAGGAGAAATTGATATTTTTTTTCTTCTTCTCCCAAGTATCTGGTACATAAAAGTGACTGTTAAGAAGCAAAGTCTACTGTCCCTACCCAGCAACTGGTACTTCAGCAGCAGTGTCCTGGTCAGAATGCACACTTTATTTGGACAATTACGGGGAAATAGAATCCATGTAATTCCATGCTTCTAAACAAAAGAGAATGGGCATACCGATCTCATTTTAATGGCATTCTGGGTGCATTGAGCTTCCTCTCAGGAGCTCTGTGGTTTTACATTGCCCAACTTCCTCTTTCAATACGGAGTCCTGAGATACTCATCAGGGCACAGTGCCCTCCACTTTTCATCTCTTACAATGCTTGTTAATCAATCTGACAAAAGCTACCTTTTAAGAAGTATGACTGTTCTCTAGAAAACAAAGATTCTCACCATCTGGCCAAAGGGCAGAATCATGATAGGTGGAGAAGAGATCTACGTTGTTCACAATTTCTTCTTGCTCGGGTCCACACTCAACACTCTTAGCATCAGCAGTCAGGAAATCAAAAGACAGTTGCTGTCAGGAACCTCTCCAGAGTGCTAAGGAGCAATGATGTCAGTCCAGAGACTAAGGTGTATCTGATACAAACCACAGTCTTCTCAATTACTGGCTAAGCATCAGAGAGCTGGACAATGACTAGAGATAACAGAAGAATAATCAACGCCTTTGAGTTGTGATGCTGGAGAAGAGTATTGAACGTAACATGGACTGCCAAGAGAATAAACAGGTTTGTCCTAGAGAGGGTGGAACCAGGTTGCTCCTTGGAGGCAGATTGTGAAGCTCCATCTCATACTTTGGACACACATCTAGGAGGGTTCAGTCCTTGGAGAAGGACATCATGCTTGGAAGAGTGAAGGGACAGTGTAGGAGAGGAAGACCCTGGATGAGATGAATTGACACCGTGATTGTAACAATGGGGACAGCTGTGTCAGAGTTGGTGAGGTTGGCTCAAGATGTGGCAAGGTTCAGAACTCTTGTTCACAGGGTCGTTATGACTCAAGAGCACATAACAACCTAACAACTACTACTCTTCTCCAGGCCTCAGAGACCAAATGGAGGGTCAGCTAGGAATTGCTTCTGATATGATGGCAGTGAGTCTGAGTTTGAGCTCCAAGATTCTTAGCTCACTGAATGTTCAGCCTCTCCCATTGGACCCTCATATCTCCTGTAGGAACCCAATCTTTCCTGTAGGGCTCTGACCAGCTGGATTTTGAAAAATTATCCCCCTGCCTTTTAATCTCATCTTCTGCAAGATGGGAAGACTCTGCTTTTCAAAGGGGAGTTGTGTTTGTTGTTGTGTGTTTTTTTTTATGTGTGTATACTGTCAAATCGGATCTGACTGGTACAGGAGGAGATTGCCCCTCCTTTTCCAGCAGAGCATCTAGTGGATTTGAACCGCTCACCTCTGGGACTGCAGTGCAGCTTCTTGCCACTAGGTCACCAAAGCTCCAAAGGGGAGCCATTTTTTATTAATGTTTTTATCTTCCATATACATTGTGTTTCACACATGTGTATTGTGTTTTATACAGATTTTCATTTATATTTTTTTCACCCATATTGTGGCGTTTCTCACCCCTTACAATCATTTCACTAATAACTATGTTTGTGAAAATGGTTAAGCCAGCTACTTCATGGCTCGAGCCTTAATAGCCCCCTTTTACACAGCCAACTGCTGATTGGCCCGCCCCTATCAAACCAGTGCTGAGGGAGCAAGCGTGTCCCTTTTACTGATGAATCCACTGTTCAGCTTGGAAACTTTGAGCATCTGCATCCACAAACCAAGTCCAGTCCAGAGTAAGACATGAGGGTGCAGCGATTGACCCTCACTCACATCTTGGATCATCTTCTCTCCATCTGGTTGGGTTCTGGTCAACTCATCCCTAGCCATCTGTGGCTATGTTCAAATGGGCACCAGGAGCCCACACTCCTTGCATTCTAGACCTGTGGATCATTTCACTCAGCCCTAAACCCACAACATGGGGCCAAGTCAACCGGCCAGGGGTCCTCATGATCCCCTGCTCTTCAAGCCAGCCACCCTTCCCTGCTTATCCACACAGCTGGGCATGCTAGGTGGACAGCGCTGAAGGAACACATCCAAGTTCAGCCATCTCCCACTCTCACACCTGCGGATCCAGGTGAGAAAGGAGAGTTCTTAAATTGACACTGAGATTTAGGGGAGAAAAGAGCAAGTGTAACTTCCAATACCACCATCCATCCAGCAGTCTGTCATACCATAAGGTGCACATGTTGCTATGATGCTGGAAATGATGGCATTGGTATTTCAAGTACCAGCAAGGCCACCCAGGGTGGACAAGTTTCAGCAGAGTCTCCAGACTAAGGCAGACTAGAGAGAAGGCTTTACAATGTTGATAAGCCCATGAGCCCCACAGAATCATGCCCAAAATGGTAAAAGCAGATGAGCTGCTGAGCTTTGAAGGTCACAATAACTATAAGAATGGGCTACTGTTGTTCTGGGCCATCAAGTCAGAGCCAACTCTTAGCTGGCTTGCATGGGAGGAGACTGCCCATCTTTCTCCTGCGGAGCAGCTGGTGGATTGGAACCACAGGCCTTTGGGTTGGTAGTGCAACTCCTTACCACTCGGCCACAAAAGCTCCCTACAACGACAGACTAGCATCTATCAATGACTGTGGAGGCAGCACAAGACTACATGCTGCTTCATTTGGTTATGCCTGGTGTCACTATGTGATGGAGATGACTCAATGCCAGTAACAACAATCTCTAATACATGGGCATTAAAGCTTCTGGAGGGAGTGGGATTCAGTCTTGAACATGTGAACATGAAAAGACAACTATCTGTCGTTCTGGGCTCTCCCACTGACCCGTTTGGTGACACTGGGTCTGAGTCTTACAAGCAGAAAGCTAGTTCCCCCTGGGCCAGGCCTTCTCTCGAGCTCTGACGGTTCCCCCTGGGCCAGCCTGTCTCTCGAGCTCTGACAGCGGCTGACAGCGAGAACAGACACAAACTATCTAGGAAGAGAGGTGCTGTTCTTGTGACAAACAAGTTGAGCTTAACACAAACTAGAACCAGATGTTTTTGCATAGAACATCAGGGAACTGGGAGCAATGATTACACAAGCCACTTGCGTTTCTCTAACACCAGCTCCCTGATCTCTTCCACCGTAAATGTTCTAAGAATCAACCTTTCTAGCAAGACTTGGCCAGTATGGAGTTTATAACAACGGTGATAATGAAGCTGTTGTGAGGTGCTGTCAGGTCCTCTGAACAAAAGAACAGAACCTTGTCCTATCATGCGGCAACCCTCAAGATCGCCTCTGTAACACTCATCTTGTCGGGGGTCTTCCTCTCTTTCACAAACCCTCCACTTAGTGGTAAGGAATTTAACTGCCAACCCAAAAGTACACAGTTTGAATCCACCAGCTGATCTGTGGGAGGAAAACGTCGAAAAACCCAGTGGAGGTTAGGGATGACCCTGGAGGACATTATGCTGAGTAAAATATCTCAGTCACAAAAGGACAAATACTGCATAATGTTTTGCCACTGTTGCTAAACGGGACTGACATAGGGGCTGGGGGTGGGGGTGGAATGAGAAAGATGGAATAAATTATGTCTACTGCACTGAAATAGATGAGAGAGAGAACCGTTTAAAAGGGATATATGATTAGGTATTATTGTCATGACA